AATTATCTGTAACGTGGCTATTTGTGTTGGATGCTGACATCCAGGTAGGACTGGCCTGGCTTCAGTGTCTCCTGTCAAGCACAGCAGGTGTGATAGATGAAGGTTTCCAGATTTTCCATTGAGAGAACAATTACCTGGTATACACCTGATGATTTAAGTGCATAAGATCCCAACATATCTAACATAAATTTTGGTTTTGTTGCCTATGCTGTGTCAAGCCCACAGTCCTCAAATAAGAACTGTACCTTCCATGCCTGCTGGGGGATTGCAGAAGTGCTCTTGGGAGAATGAAATCAGCCACACCAATGATCCAGCCCAAAGCCAATGCACAGTGTTTGTGCTGGAGTTCCTAGTGAAAACAGACACCCTGGAGTGCAGATCCCATGGCTTCTCACCTGCTTTGTGCCTTCTGTCACTCACCAACAGCTGCCTTCAGCAGAGCAAAGCAGATGTGTTTTGTCTTTTCTTTGATGCAAACTCTGCAAGTCTCTATGAAAGACCAGCATGGAATGCTGACACTCAGAGAAACCAGAAATTAGTGCCTTCATACCTAGAAAAATATTTGTTAAAGTGCTGCTTTTGAAATTATTTTAAACTTGATTTTTTACTGAACAGTGTTAGTTGAGTATTTTTTTTATTTTCATCTTTGTTGGATGAACAATTTTAGTAAAAAGATCAGATTCCCAGGGAGGATAATAGCCAGATATCAGACATTAGAGATATCTATATAAGATAGCTGGACTTGGAGAAGCAGTCCTGCAGACTGTATCTTGAACCATCTGTACTCCATGGAGTGTTTTCCAGTGTGCTCAGTCTGCTTTGTACTGCTCTGACAATGTTTACAATCTAACTTAAAATATATGAAGATTGTTCCAAAAATAGATGTGAAAAGGCTCATGAAAATTAGTTCTGAAGCCTATAGGTTAAATCCCTTCTTTTCCTTTAGAATGAGTTGTTTCTTTTCCCCAGTATTTCCAGCCACAAGAAGAATCCCACTGGGATACAAAGATGTGAGTTCTCTTTATTTAAAAAGATGTGATGATTGTCTAAATTGTGGAAGTTTTTGTTTGACTCTTCTTTGGTTTTTTTTCCCTGCAAGCGATACTATCTGTGATCTCCCCTCGCCCCATTTTTCTCTCTGCTTCCCTTTCTAATGATTTTTTCCTCCTGCAGTGAGGTTCCAGATGTGCATGAGGCTGTGAAGGAAAGCTTTTCACAGTGTTCTGACTCTTCAGCTGTCTCCAGTGCCATTTCTCCAGCTGAGAGGCCTCTCACCTGCTCTAGAGCAAAGAGCTTTTCTAGCAACTCCTCTTCTGTGCCTGACTCATCTATCTCTCATCATAATTCTGTCCTTTCATCACCATCTTCACCTGCAACAGCATTGCTGAGCTCTCCCCAAAATTCCTCAGCATCCATTACTCCAAAGGCATCTCCAACAGTGGAGAAATTGCCTTATGTACCACACACTCCTTTTCACCTCTTCTCGTATGACTTTGACGACTCTCCAGCATCTGTGAAAGAGAAGGAAGCAGAAATGATGAGGGAAAACAGGTAGATTTTATAAAGCTAACAATAATTTTTAGATAAATTAATAAAACCTTTCAAGAATTTTACAGTGCTAATAATGCTACTCTATGTGTTGTATTATTTCCAGAACATACTATTTCTAATTTTAGTCCTGTAAGCCTGTATTTTGATTTGATATTTTCCCCTTGCCTTTGCTGACATCATTACTCTTCTTCCAGGTCTGTAGTTGATAAATATCCTGGCCTCCTCTATAAAGGAGTGGGTAAATAACCAATAGTTTCCAAGAAAGGAGCACCATTTTGCTCTCATTTACAACAATGTAATTTACAGACATGTTTTCATGAAAATTAATGGAGCTCTTCTGCTATAAAATCAAGAGAGGTCAGATCAGCACTTGAAATTCAGGGGTAAAGTCCTGGCTTCAAAGGCTGAACTGCCAAATCCTAAATTTGTTTTCTGGTTACAGTGCATGTCCATCTCATGTGCAATTTCAGCTCATGCTTGTAATAAGAGATCTATAAAGATAATATAGCACTCAGAATAGACAGTTTTATCTCCACAACATCTGTTGAATTTACTTGTTCCTCATGTGCTTATCTTAGTTTTTAACTTTAATTTCCCCATCCCACCCCTCTAAAATAAAACAGAAAAATATTGTTTTGTCTCATCTGTTTTCAAGTGAAAGAAATTGACAGTAAGTAGCACTAAAAACAATGACAGAGAATCACCTTGAAGAGGTTGATGATTTTTTGCTGTCTCTTACAGTTGTCATTGTTGTTTGAATTAGGTGCTGAAAATGTACATTTATATTGCATGCGTATTTACTTCCTCTCTCCAGCAGTCCCTCTGAGTTTCTGCGTGTGAACAAATGTTTTGATTCTTTTGATCCTTTTAATTTTTGATCTTTCTCTCCTAATAAGTGGGTGTGTTTTGTCCCTTTTTCATTTTTCTGAAAAGTCTGTAAATCCAAGTAGTTGTTGACAAGTGACTTAGTTCACATATTTTTTCTTTACCTGCGACTTGAACACTGGGATTCCTCTAAATTTACATTTTCCTTCATAGGTGCATTTTTCCATTAGATCTCTCACACTCGTTTATTGGTCTCCCATTGCTGCTGCTGTTAAACTTCAGAGAGTAGATTCCTAAATACTTCCTAGTCCTGAAGTATTTAGTATTTCTGCAGGGATTTTTTTTCCTCTGACCATCTTTTCTGCTTTCATTTAGTACAGAGCTTCAGGGGTGAGGATGGAGATTCTTCCAGGTTTATCTGGAGGAAAAGGAGGGCAAAGCCTGCACAATTTATTCAATAATATGCCCATAAAAGAGGAAAATGTCTTGAGGGTGAATGCTGCTGGATAAGACTATTGCATCCACACTAGTACATAAGACAAGAAGGGAAAATGGAAGCAATAGCCAGTACCAGAAGAAGGTTAGAAAGATAAACTTTGAGTACAGCATACAGACTTAACCTGGTATTCTGGTCTTGCCTTGCTCCTATTACAGCAACTCAGTGTTTCTCTAAATTTGGTAGGATGTTGTGTCCAGACCAGTCCCTCTGAATTTGATTTTTTTTATTGTTGGTCTGACTCCATAGGAGGTGCATTCCCTCCATTTACATGACAGTTATCTTTGGACTAATTGAAAACCCTTGGTCTGAAAAAGGGCTCTGCTCTATGTCAGCTTTTTCATGGGGCAGAGGAGACAAGAAGCGCATGCAGTGGTTGATAAGAAGGTCTCCTTGCTGTTGATCAAAATGGAAATGGAGGTTTCTGTCAGATCATACCAAATCAGCTCTGAGTTCTTATCAGGACAGTGGAGTTTACTCATCTATAAGTCAGTACAGGCACAGTCAGAACATTTCCTGGGCTGAGCGTGTCAGAGAGAAGACCCAAGCTAGGTCTGTGCTACCAGGGAAGCTCCACACTGTCCAGTTACACAGTCTCCAGTGACCACTGTCTCCAGTTCCTTGTTAGTTTTCTTCTAGGACAAGAAGACCTGGACAGCAATTATTTCCTGCAAAATTCCTTTTGTGGCTCAGAAACATGCATGTTAGAGTTTTTTCCAAAATTATTTCCCTGTTGCTTGTCAGTATAGTGTCTCAAAAACAGATGAGGAATGGGGAGTGTTTTCTAAAGCATTAACCTGGAAATGCTGTTCCAGAGGACATGTTCTCTAAAGCACGATCCCTTCCATTATAAAAGCACCTAGCTGAAATCTACTCTGGTTTTAACATGGGCCTTGGCAGGAACCCTAAGGAAAAACTTGAAACTTTGAATGAAATTTTGCATGGCTAGATGAGTGTGCTAAGTGGAGCTGAAGGAAACCAACCAGGCTTTTCAAATAAAATTGCTGAGTGAAATTACTTAGTGCTGATGTGTGTGAGGGAAGAAGCATCAGAGAAAAGATATGGCGAAGGAGGATATATTATATCTTGTGAAGTATAATAAGGAGAATGATGTCGCTCTATTTCTTGAAATGAATTTTGCAATTTGGATGAGTTGACCTTGCTGAGTACTGATCTTCAGAGCACCATATGCTTTCCATGTGGGAAAATGGCATTTTCTGTGAACAGTATTAAAGAGAGGAATATTAACATTTTCCCAAATCAAGAATCTTTTTTTGACATGCTGTTTAAGTACAATGGTTAAAAGGCACAGCAAAGCAACACGACTGCGTTTTCTATTCAGTACAGGAGCCAGGATGAAAACATTGATAGAAAGGACTCTGGGGAGGTGGCCATTTCAGGAGTCCTGGAAACAATTTCTCTTTGATCAGCAAGCTCCCATTGAAGTGAAGCAAGTTTATGGGGTTTTTTAATGGAGAGAAGGGCTGATAGAAATTTCTAAAGCCGTGCTTCCGGAGACATGTCTTTTTAACCATGGTGATGATTTTTTACAGGCATTGTAAGAAATGGCACATAAGCTATTACTTAGGTTGGGGGAGGGGGAAGAAAATACTGCTGGCTTTAATTGAAAATAATGTGGTTGCTTTTCTATTTAAATTGCAAGTATTTGGATGTCATGGATGCCCATGTTCAGATCATGTCTCAGGAGTGCTGCCATTTTCCTTAATTTTAGTAGATATGAATACAGCTGTCTTGGACTGGTTTGATCCCTTTTATAATGGCTGGATATCACTCCCAAAACAGCTAATAATTCTGAGTAACTGAGCAGTATTCAAGTATTCCTGTCCTGAGTTGTCACTTGGGAGGACCATTCAAATCTCTCATTATTTCCCTTGCCAATAGTTCACTGATTCATCATGTATGTTCATGCCATGGTTGATATTAAGAGTACATGATTTTTTGCATATTTGGAAATAGAGTAACATTTTCAGAAGGTGACTGTTTGAAAAATTCTGGGGTATGGAGTCATTACCACCCTGAAAACAAGAGGATTTATTGTTGCATGCTGGTTTGCTGATGGATTTTTTCTGTCTCTCCCTTTCTCCTTCTTTTCTTCCCATTTCTTCAGATACAATAGCTATGGCAGCAGCTCTTACTCTTCTCCACGACCTTACGCTGGTGTGAGTGCCCCTACAACGCCCACTACTCGTTATGGGACAACTCTGTCACCACCTCAGGAGACCAAATCTGACAGGTTTGTAAATTAATCAGTGTTTTGACAACAGTTCCTTTGCAGACAGAATGAAGGAGATAAATGTAAGCTGTTCTGAATGAGTATTGGAAATAACTTCTAGCCAGTTTTTCTTTAACATTGGGAAAAAATGGAAAAAAAATCTAAATATGTTCATTTCCCACTCGTTCTCAAGCCTTTTTGTCTGACTTTGTGTTAAAGGTTGGGTGTATTTCCATCCCACTTCTGTTTCTTCTACTTAAATGGATAAAGCAGAGTTGCTTTGCACATAAGCTGTTCTAAGTATTATAAGTTGAATTAAAATTTTCTCTCTTTCCATTTTTAAAAATAAATTCAGATAGATCTATTTTCACTTCTATCCTTTTAAATCAACTGCAAAATCTTGGAAATGTGCTTAGCTCAGAATTTCCTAGGCCATAATTTTGTCCTTTCTTCAAAATACGTGATATATCTCATTGTATTTCATCAAAAGCAAAACATTTATTACTGTAGCTAAAGCAAACTCCTAATAACCAAACAGTTATCAGCTTGCTTTAAGAAAAAAATTTAAAGGGGGAAAAAACCCAAACCAGCAAAAAAAAAAATGTTTCGAACAATCAAAATACTCTTTTGAATTATGTAAGGTACTAGAGGAAGAAAAAAAATAGGAAAATGTTATGGATACTTGAAAGAAATTCTTGGCAAGAGGTTTGGACCACAAGAAATTAACTATCTGTTACGGCCTAAGAGTAAATGACAGCTTCAAAGGATACCGTGCTGATTTTAAGAAGGAAAGGTAAAAGCTTTTGATTAATTTAATTCAATAATATGATACAATAATGTAAATAATATCCAATTAGGTCAGATGAGGTTTGGATTGTTTGTTTCCAAAGTGGCCTGTGATTCATAAAAAGTTCATCTTCTATCCTGTTTTCTGAACTTAAGGTTTTTTACAGGACTCTTGTTTTGTAAAACAGTTCTGTACAGGATTCTTGTTCTGTATTCCAGTTAATTTTTGCTAATGACTCTTTGGCATATTTCTGTAAATGTATGTGTGTTTGTGTATCTATATATGTTTGAACCTTCCTAATGCCTCACATCCTTTCCAGACTGCTACTCAGAATGGTTCAAGTTAGGTTCTTCCAGCATGCATGTATTTGTAGTCATGACGTATTGATTTAATCCTTTTTTTCAAGTGAGTAATTAGATTAAGTTTCTCTTTGGAGAAAGGCATTGTTTTTCATTTGCTCATCTTCCTGGAGTACCTTGCCTCGATTTGTCTTTCCTGATCTCAATTAAATTATTGCCAAGTGCAACCACAATAAAAACCTCTACACCAGCATATTCACCCCTGTTTACCTCAGCAAAATTGATGCAAGATAAGCAAGAGTTAAAAGTATCCCGCTGGTTTGGAAATTTAAGGTTTTCAAGCTCCTGCTCTTGTAAGCTTCTGATTGCTACTGTGGCAAAGAAACCCCAAAGTGGTCAAACGCTGAGATGGCTAAAGATGGTTGGGCTTGTCCTGCAAGAAGCTGATGGTGCTGGCCCTGCTCCAGTGAGGAAAGCCAGCTTTCATTTCGGCATCTGCGTAAGTGCCTTGCTGGTTTGGAGCCAAAATGCCTTGGCCCCACAGGATGAAGCTGTAAAATTTGCAGATTCATGGAGAGTCAGGCCAGAGGGGAGCTCTGCAATCATCTGTTGTGACCTACAATGGGTCTCACAGAAGCGAAATGAAAGACCCCTGTACTCTCATGTGTTTTCAAGTGGCAGCACATGATTTCTCCTGAAAATATTCCAATATTTCTTATCACTGCTAGGAAAATATTTTATATTTTGAAGCCAGTTTTTCTAGCAGCATCTTCCAGCCAACGCACCTCATCTTTCTTTTTTCTCTGAAACTCTAAAGGGCTCTACCTTCAACTACCAGCTGCCTCTTACATGTTGTAAGGGACTGAACACAGTGCTCAGCATTGCATCTCTGTCTTTCCTTCAGGTTATATTTGCTGCTTTCCACATGATAAAAATCTCTGTATTCTTGTTTAAATTTGCAGCTTGCTGTTCATGGTAGTTCATGAGCTCACAAGGGTTCCTGCATTTTTATATTTGAGTGATGTTGCAGCCTGATGCTTCCTGTATATGAGTCTCTAAGAAGCGTGAAAAACGTGTGTACAACACGGCTGTGTGTTGTCTGCAGAATAGATGCAGTTATTTCTTTAAAGATAATTAAGTTTACAGTTTCAGATGCCATTTTGTATTCTCTTGTTCTTTTTGAGAGTGCTGCCACTGCAGATGTATACTTGTGCAAGCTCTAAAGTACTGACTGCTTTGAAGAAGGGCAGAAGCCTTCCTTAATTTCATTGTCCTGAAAGATATGCACTGAAGAAGTGCCCATGTAGAGACTGACGGATGGAATTTGCTTATTGGAGAGTAAGCCGTGTAGTGTATGACACAATGCTTGGCACTAATTAGTAAATGGAAACTATTGTGGAGGTTTTCACAGTTTTCTATGAATGGTGTTTGCCTCAGATTATGTAAACACTATTTCCTACCTGAAAGTAAAAATTTACATGGATTCAAACACCCAAAAAAAGTTAAAAGCTGTGAGTGGGGGGGAGAGGAAGACATTTGATAAGAAGCAGATGTGTATCTATGGTTAGCTCTAAGGTGTGTTTTCTAGTTTCAGCTTGTGCTTCAGTTATGCAAAGCCTTCCCAGAAAGATTCCTGTCTTTTATCATGCTGGGAAGAGCTTCAGATGCAGGTCCTGGTACCGTTTATCTGACCTTCGAGAATGATGAGGAAGGAAGGAGCAGCATTTAGAGCAGTGCCCAGCACAGTGATTCATGCTCCATTCAGTTGCCCTAACAGGCCTTTCAAACCCTTAGCTGCATATTGCTTATGTAAACAAGAGCCACAACTTAGGTGGAAAGAAGCAGCATGGTTGACATTTTGACATTCATACTTTTAAAACCCTCTTTGGCTGAGATCAGTAGGGAATCATAAGAGCAGTATAAGTCAGTGCAAAAGTAGCTGGATTTTGTTCTTTGAAATCCACATCATCTATATATTTCTGATTGTACAGCAGAAGAAAAGGCTTACTTTACTGTTTCTAAATACAGCTGCACCCTTTTGGCAACTTCTTGCCATGCTGTTGTTCCCTCTCATTTCCCTGGGTCCCCTATGGAGAGCCATGTTTGTGAAGTGAATATTGCAGCCATGGGAATCCTGCTGAAGGAGGGCAAATTGCAAGGCACTTTCTGTTCAGCCCTTCATTGGAAGAGAAGAAGGTGTGTGCCAGTTCTCTTGTATCTCTGCTTGTGAAAGTCGCTCCTAATGCATAAGTATAACCCAGTCTGCCTGTTTTCTAATGCCAAAGAGTGCTTTGCTCCATAAATACGCTGCTCCCATTCTTCACAACTTAAATCACAATTAACTCTTTCTCCTCAGTTATTAAAAAAATTTTAAAATCAATCTCATAACCTCATAAATTTTAATAACAAAGGGGAAGAGCAATGCATGACTGAGACACATCAGGAGGAGAAGCATTTTTCTGTCTCTCCAAGTTGACCCCTTGCCCGAGGCCAGAAGGTGTTGTAGGACTAGTCTGCATTTCCATGCCTTATGGTCACACCTAGGATATTTCTGTCTAGCCAGACTGCTTTGTCAGACTCGGAATCTAAGACAGTCACTCCAATTGAAACTGCAGCCCGGAGTCTGCCACAGGACATCAAATTTGTTACTTGCAAAGCTTCACACCCCCTCATAGTGTCCTTTTGGTGGTGAAATGTTTGCACTGGTGATCATGGCTATCCTTCAAGGAGATCATGAAGGAGTGTAGCTTCTAAGGCAAGAGCTCCTAAATTCAGCACCAGCTTTAATTCATTCCACCACCAGAAAAATATCCTGCTGGTGTGTTTTGCAGGGTGGGTTTCTTCTGATGCATTTGCCAGGAGGTGGTTCCCCCTGGGCTGGACAGTCAAACAGTAGTACAGTCAGCCTAGCTCAGAAAGCTTTCTCGGGGCACTCCTGCCAAAGGAGCAGGAGTTCAGGGTCTCACCTCTATCTGTTAAATCAAATGCCAAAAAGTTCAGCCTGCAAACCTCCTTCTTGAGGCTCTTGGCCAGTCTCTGTGAACTTATTCTCCACCTCTGGCTGCTCCCTCAGAAGTTCTTCCAAATCTGCAAGCCTGGTAAAGGCCTGCTATGGTGTTTGCAGCTTATTCCTGTTTGAAGCATCTCCAGCTTTTCCAGAGCGTTAGAAAATAGGCTTAAGAGATATTAAATATATTTCACATTCTTTAATATGTTTTCCATCTCACTTGCTTTGTGATCTACAGCAGTACATTACCTTGGGCTCCCATGATGCAGGGCCTTGAATATTGTGTTCATTTCCATGTTCTTCTATATGTTTTAAAGGAAATGTATCTTCAAACATTTAATTCTAAAACAGATCACAGACAGTGAGATTAGCATGCCTAGATTATAGGTGGTTTTTTTCTCCTCTGACACTTAAACACCGTACCTGAAGCATAAGCATAAAGTGCAGCAAAAGTCTGCAGATACTCTTCTTTTGAGTTTTATTCCCTTTCCAGGTGCCTGAAATAGTGATTTGCTGGAAATCTGGTCCTTTCTTTCAAATTTCTTTCTTTAAAGCAAATCAAAACAAACAACAACAAAAAAAAAAAAAAAACCAAAAAAAAAAAAAAAAAAAAAAAAAACCAGGTTTCAGTAATTGACAACACCAGGGAGATGCTGCTGGATGAAGCTTCTTGGCAGGCTCCTTTTTTTTTTTTTGTTATCCATTTATCACTAATTTGTGCTCTGCAGTTCCCTTCCTCCATCTGTTAAGCACAAAGGTAAAACAAAAGCCTATGAAACACAACCTGCTATACAGCCTGCAAAGCTGCTGCTCTCCCAAGAACTGCTCCTCTTTCCTTGGCTTTCTGTCCTTTCTGTATGTACTTCTGGTCTCTCAGACCAGAGATTTTTCCTTGTGGTAACTGCCAAGCACATCTCTCGGTCTGAGT